AACAAAATCATAACAATTAACAGTCAAAAATTAATCTAGTATTTCAAAGTTCCAGGGCACAAACATCTTTTATTGTCCTGTTCTGTGGACATCTCTGCTCAGGAATACTTATTCCATTGTCTAGAATAATTTTTCTTTTCTTTTTTAAACAACTAATCATTTTTTTTTCACATGGGTAAATAAATTGTTACCAAGGAATAATTATATTAAGATAATAACTAATTTAAAATTTAATAGAAACTGTAATGTGAACTAATATCCGATTACATCAACTTTGGTATAATTTTCAGAAAAAATAAAAAAATGAAACAATATCAGTCAAACAACGAAACGAAGAGTAAATGTTTATTTTAACATTAATGTAAAAAAATGGAGATTTTTATGAATTTACTTCTATAATTTTGAAAGAAAAGTAAATTGATTACATCTACCAGACTAAATTGTTTTGTTTTATTCAAGTGAAACCAAATACAACAATTTGTATATTGAGTTGGTCTTCAAAAACATTTTTTTTTCATGTTTCTGCTATAAAATTCATGAAAGTACACAAGCTGTTTTCTAATTTTTTAACTAGATGCGTTTTATCTTATTTACCAAAACATTCTAAGTGTTCATCGCTTGCGAATGGTCTGACATAAAATGAATTATATTGCTGAATTTTTTTATTTAAAACAGAAAGCAAATGATTTTAGTTATGTAAAATCAAATGAATTTCGTGTCCGTCAACGTTAAAAATGAATTCACTGATATATGATAATTTTTTCAAGATATTATAATACGTCAATATATATTGATGAAGCATTTACGTATATTTTACTGTCATAGTCACGCAGCAATAGTGAATCAGTTACATATACTTTATTTATCTGGCAAAAACACACAAAATGATAAAATAGAGCCTACTCGAGCATAATCGTGTTGAAAAGTTGTAATAAAATTTCAAAGATTAATTTACTCTTAAACAGCTATTTTGATATGGTTCTGATAAACCGTAAAGTAACTCGGTTTATTTCGAACCGCTGGATATTAACGTGTCATTAGTCAATGAACATTTTTTGTGACGGAATCACAAAGAAATCTTTTAGTTTAGATATAGAAAATGTTCATTTACTAAAAAATTTTTTTTTCTATGTATTTTACATAGATTGTTCTTATTAGGAACATTTTTTTGCTGACTGTTCGTATTAGGAACAGTGTTCCTAATAAGAACAGGCGAGCTATTTTTAAAAATGTAATAACTTTGTTATTACAAATTGAAAAAATCTGAACCTTGAGATTCAATGGTATCAAGTGACGAGGAACTATTTTTGTTAAAGAAGTATATCGAAATTTTTTATTCCAAGAATAAAAAAGTCGATTTACTAAAAAAATTTTTTTTTCTATGTATTTTATAAGAAATGTTCTTATTAGGAACATTTTTTGCGTTATTGTTCTTATTGGGAACAGTGTACCTAATAAGAACAAATTCAATTATTCGCAAACTACCGCTAATTACTTAATTAGTTTAAGAGATAATTAGATGATTTTTACATCATTCGATGCAGCAGACATTTCTGCACTCAGATATGTAAAAAAATTTTTTTTACCACGAGAAATGACTTAGTAGCAAAGGAATTACTCCGACCTCCAAAAAATCTGTTCTTATTAGGGACATTGACTGTACTTTGAGATTGAAATATTTTCTATAAATCATTGAGTTTTAGAAATGAAGAAGAACACTATTTTCAAATAACTCAAAATGAAGAAGATATCCGACTCAATTTGAAATCAATACAAAATGAAAAAGACCAAATTGATGAAAAAATGAAAACGAATGAAACTGAATATAACGATATTAAGGAAAAAATGAAAACAATCAAAAATGATGTGACAAATTCTGAAAAAAATCTCAAAACACATCAAGAACAATTAAACACTAATCGAGATAAATTGAAAAATCTTTTAAATGATCATCGAAATCATCGAAAAACTTTAGCTCAAGGTGCAGAAAAATTACGACAAATTATTGAAGAACTTCCAACAGCACATTTGAAATTATGTAATTTATTAAAAAAGGAAAAAGATTCGAAGCAACAACTAGAAAATGCTAAACATTCTGGAAAAATTGCTGAACAAAATTTAAAAACGACAAATAAAGCCTTGACGTTGGGTCAAGAAGCTTTTGATACAATGAATAAATTTTCTCGAGAAAATCGACAAGCTCAAGTTGTTGGTCATGATACAAAACAACGAATGCTTGAAGAACGAAAAACTGATGTGGAAAAAGCTAAAGGCGAGTGTGAAAACCAAAAGAAACTACTTGAAAAGCGAGAAAATGATTATACAACAGCAACATCAGAGCGAATTCAAGCAGAAAAAGCCTTGGAAAATTTAGAAAAACAAATTGAAATTGAAAAGAATAATATTAACGAAAGCAAAAAAATATTGAATAATTTTGAACAAGACATTGAAAAAGTTGAAAAACAAATTAGCGACATCCTTGTTAATATTGAAAACGCTTAAAAAAATAATGAAGAACTGAAAGACCAAAGCGCAAGTCTATGCAATCAAATGAAATTGAAAAAACGAGAAATGGAACTTAATCAGCAACGCTTAAATTTTATCTTGAACAAGATCAACCAATATGAAGCCGAATTAAATGATTTAAAGAGCTTAAAAGAAAATTTGAATACGCAACGAAATAAAATACATAAGAAGCATGACGAATTTGTTCAATCAAAGAATATTATTTCTACGACAAATGAAATCCGAACATTTGATTTGACTAAAGAAGCAGATATTCGTCGAATTGAAAGTGAAATTTTCGAATTACAAACAGAAGATAACCAATTAAATGAAAGAAAAAATACATTACAAAGATTATCTCCAATTGTTTCGGATAAAAACAGTGGTCTTGAAAAAATCTTTCGGGATCAAAAGCGAGAATTGGAAGAAATACAAAAACAAATTGAAACTCTTGAAAACAAACTTCAACCAATGGATATTACCATTGAATTTGCTAAGAAAAATATTGAAATTGA